CGTTTAAAATTTAAGTTTTTCACTTTTTCCGTTCTGCATATATAAGTTCGTGTTCACTGTGAAAAAGAGAAAATATGTTTTTTTCTTCTCTCTTTTCTCTCTTCCCATATGATAAAACACGTTCTTAGTTTTCTATCGTGTCATCGATATAAGGAACATTTAGTCGATTTTTATATTTTGTGATTTGAGTGAGAAAAGGTGTCTCTCAATCACATACTGATCGGCCTGTCCAGCTAACGGTCAACCTGCATGATCAAAGTTGAATTTGAAATTGTTCAGAATCCAACATGGCTGTTTTGTAGAGCACATTCTATTCTATAAGAATACGACTTTTGACTTTTTTCATCCGTTCATTTGGAGAGAAAACAAGAGCTCGAAACATTTTCTAGTAGCGAATCTTATAGTTGTGTTTTTGATCATGTAAAATAGATGATCGTCAGCAGACCGTCCCAAAGCGTTTTATGATGAACCTATGGCATAAAAAGAATCTCCAGCAAATGGCCTTTATTCTAGACTGGTTACTAAGGCGTCTTCTTTTTTCCTAGTGTAAATCGACCGTTTGAAAAACTTCATCAAACGAAGGATGAGTGCGTTACCATTTAGCTCGTTTTTTGACTTTTGCGCCCTAGTGTGTGAGATATTTTCAGAGAAAACTATTGATCTATCGCTAACTTTTGACGGGCTATCGGATGTACGTCTTAGAATTTTTTTAATTTGTTCCTCTTGGGAAATAAACGGTAACGCACTCATACGAGCTTTTTACCATCAAACAGTTAATTAGGCTTTTGACCACGAAGTTTGTGTCCGTTTAGGCTCTATCTTGGCACATATACGTAACTCGTGTTCTCTACAAATTGGCTGTAGTTTTTCAGAAGTGTGACATTTCTGGACTTTCGGTTTTCCAGGGGTTTGTGGAAAACTTCCACGGAAACTTGATCTTTCCCCGGCACCTTTTGATTGTTTGCACTTAAAGAGCACATGAAATGATATCGTTCGCTTGGATCTGAAGTATAGTGGGATGTTTCTGGCTCATTTGTGACGTTTTATAGTTTATCTCGCTCTAAGCTAGCATCTGTTCTTACGCTTAATTACATTCCGGATGCTTGTTACCTATATCTTTCAGATTTTCAGTATCTGTTCTTCTTCGTGTTAGTTGTACCTTTATCTGATCAATTTCATTCATTTATTCGTGTGATGGCTCTCACGCCGGCTCAGAAGCAAAAACATTATCGTAAAAACTTGGCAAAAAAAGGCTTAAATGAAGTCTCAAAAGCTAAAATTGCTGCCAGAATGAAAGCATTTCGTAAAAATTTAACTGGGATAACGCGAGCCAAATATTTGGAAGCCCATGCGGATTCACAAAAACGTTATAAAGAAAGAAAGAAAGAATTCGAAACCATGGTATGTCTCTGAAATAACGATCATCACCAACTCACTGGCGGTCGTTTTTACTGTATTTTAGTGCATTATTCTCAACAAAACAGTCGTTATGCAAAGCAACAAAGAAAGTCACGAAAATGCTTCCGAAAGATCCTGCCAAGAAAAAGTTGATTATAAAAGCAATAGCCGAATCTGTTGGTCTTTTACCGACATCAGCTCATCAACGTGTTTCCAGAACATTGTCGCCGAAAGCAAAAGATGCCATTCTCCTTTTATATGGACGTGATGACATATCATACCAAGTGCCAGGAAAACGCGATACAGTTGTTGTTAAAGAAGATGGAAGTAAGAAAACTTATCAGAAACGAATTTTGTTGTATAATTTGCGTGAACTATATCAAATATTCTTAAATGAAAATTCTGGTAAGCGAGCGTTTTCTACTGATTAAATATCGTTGTGAAAACAGTCGTTTGCCCTATTTCAGGTGTTGATGTGTCTCGTTCGCTCTTTGCTCAACTGCGACCACAACAAATTGTGGTAAAATCTTCAATGGCACATCGTGTATGCGTGTGTTTATATCATGAGACCGTTAATTTGCTCTTAAATGCGTTATTAAAACATATTAATGGATTAGCTTGTTCCAGTTTACAAGCATTCACAGGAGCACTGGCCTGTGATGAATCAAATGAGCAGTGTATGTTGTCTAACTGTAATAAATCAGATCATAATTTTGAATTACAAGTAAAAAGTAAGGTTATTGGTGAAGCCGTTAAAATAAAATGGTCGCAATGGCATAACAATAACGGTCGTGCGGAAAAAACAGAACACGATGGTATCGTTAAGCAATGCGCGCAGCTCCTATCAACAAAAGTTAAACAATATTTGTATCATGTATTTATTAAACGACAACAAAGTCATCTGTTTGAACAACTGAAGGAAGATTGTGATGACAGAACGGGTAGTACAAGTTGATTATGCCGAAACTTTTTCTCTTGGGGAACAGGACGCAATCCAGTCAGCACACTGGTCAACTAAAACGATCTCAATCTTCACAGCGCATGCGTGGTGTGATGCCTTGAACTTCTCATTTGCTCTACCATCAAATAATGTGAGTCATGATAAATACTGTGTTAGTACATGTATTAATTTTATTATTGGTGAATTGAAACAATATTTACCAGAATTAGAACAAATCATATTTTTCAGTGATGGTGCCGCTTCACAGTTTAAGCAACGTTTTCCGTTTCGCAATTTGACAAGGATGTCAAATGAACATGATTTAAAGATATCACGGAATTTCTTTGCCACAAGCTGTGGCAAGGGGGTGGTCGATGGTATTGGTGGAACAGTAAAGCGAATGGTTTGGCAAGAAATGATGACTAAAAAGCAATGTAAAACAGCAGCCGATTTCGTACGTCTTGCCAAGAGTAAAACAAATACAATTATTCTATGTGAAATGGCGCAAGGAGCAATCGACGCTTCAGAACAAAAGCTGAAACAGTTATTTGATGGCACTAAAGCTGTTCGAAATACACAAAAGTTGCATAATGTCATAGCTGTACGCCAAGATGTTATTGAATATCGTTCATTTGGTGGTTCAACAAGCTCCTGGACAGTGAAATTTTAAGATTGATGAACAAGAAGAGATGTTGTTAGAAAACTGTTTTCTGAATGTTCTTTCAATGAAAAACTATGTGCTTTTGGAAGAATAAACGAAAATTTATCTCTACATTTGTCTTGACGCCTTTATACATCGGTAGAATAAAGTTCCGATACACAAAACTTCAAAACTTGGAGAAATAAAAAGTTTCAGCTGAGTGCGTTACCGCAGTGTTTTGATAATAACTCCTTATAAAAACAAGATTTCGAAAAACTTTTTTTGGCATCGTAAAGCGTGTTGCCTTAGCTACAAACTCACTCAAAAGAGTTTTCCTCAGTACGGGAAAATTCACAGGAATTTTAACTTTTTTGGATTGTCCTCATGGAATGGAGCCTTTTGAATGAGTGCGTTACCGTTGTTTTCGGTAACCCTAAAATCGTAACGGTAAGGTCAAATGAAGCGATTTTTATAACAGAGCTAGGTCTTACAATTACCTAACTATACTGTAAGTTTCGATACTTTGTCACTTAACGTTGCCGACTTATGGCAATCTGAACGTCAAAAATGGGTGAGTGCTTTACCTGTGGACAGGCCGTGATACCAGTATACATAAAATTTTAAGCTCTATCCGAATCTGAATGTTTTACATTTCGGAAACACGTATTGTCAGAAATATACGCGCTTCAAGAAAAACTTAATTAAGACAAAAACTCGCTTTTCGACTTAATTATCAAATTCTAAGTTCTAATTTTAGTCTCATTAGATACAGCACGTAAAATTACATATGTTTTACCCAGCTTTCTCTTCGGAAACATGATGCACTCATTTCAGGTTCAGCTAGAGATTGGTCTCAAAATAAGTATATACAGAGCAAAGGACCATGCCGGTTTTCAAAATTATGTTGAAGCAGAAAGCTATATATCAGGTTTTGTAGAGCTTCTCGCGACGGATCTATATCTGTATTGGATTTGGATTAATACCTTCTGATTACCAAGATATGGGTGTCACCATGTTCTTGGTCTTTAATCGGTATTGATGTAAGAGGAAGAGTCGAGATTCGGTAATGTAGTACAATGAGATGTTGTCTTACCCATATTCTTGTAAAGCAAAATTCAACTAATCTTCGAACCGCACACTTAAAATTTTATACAATTGTTTATCTCTTTTCTTTTTAAACTGGCGACTACATGAATGGTGATAGTGTGATGTTTTTATCACATAGGAAAAATACAATCATTAGTAAAATTGAGGTACAGCTGCTAGATTGAGATTGTGTACTTCTTCCTTTGGGGATTTTACAATTGTAGTTGAAGATGAACAGATTGTATAATGTACTGCTTGTTACAGAAAAACACTAGGATAATGCAAAGAAAAATGCATTCATGTGACTCATAATATGATACGATCGCCCCATTCCTATGTGTTGAAAATTGATTTCTTACTGTTTATTTTACTCTCTTCACTATGTTATCTTCTCCAAACAACTTCATAAACTTTCTCCCTCTCTCGATTAATGGCAAACGTTAGTCTAGCCGATAGGCTAGAGATTGTTCTGCGCTTCGGTTTTCACAACCACTTGCGTCTATTAATCGTTGGTTCCGACAGCAACTGGGCGCATACGTGGGCGGAGTGGTGGCGTCAGGAATTTTTGACGATTTCGCTGCGGGTAAGTTTAACAACAGGAGCCGTTCATGAACCACGTGAGTTCTTCACTATCCATTTCCTCCTTCTGTTTCTAGCCTTGGGTGTGGCTGGTGGTAGTACGGTCGGTGGAGATGAATTAGAAGACGGGCATTTAGTCGTCTTCGTTCCACTTGACGATGTGATGATGTGTAGATTAGAGGGCTACGACGCCGTCCTTTATTATTTTTAAACCGTACATATGTTTTTATTTTTTTTTGTTGCCGTTGGTTGTTTTATTATTTTGATGAATGTGCTTCTCTTGTGTTTTATATTACACAGTGGTGGTTTATAACATCTTTGCTTATGCGTTGAGAACGTTCGCGATACACTCTGACAAATTCGCGTCTTGACTGACATTAATCGAGTTGGAGAGAGAGAAAAGATAGGTACGAACTATGTACTTAACTAAAACTGGACCAAGCGAGAATACCTTTCCACTTTTCTAAACTATATGAAGAGAGTAAGACAAATGAGCTTCCATCGCAATACCAATATATGTGTCACATGATTGTATAAAGAAATAACAAAAAAGTAGATAAATGTAGATAAATATTCGCGTCTTACAAAATATCTACGAAGAAATTTGAAACGGAAAATAGTACGGTCTCAAACGTTCGACATGCACCACCTCAATTACGCGATTATCTACTAAGGATATTATTTGATAATCTATGGGCGTAATTTTCTTCGTAATTTACTTATAAGTCTTCGTAATTTGGAATGGACCGATCCAACGCGGTTCTAGCTTAGGAGCTTTCCATTTGCTTAAAGCGTTGCCGACTGTAGTAGCCATCATCACCAGATCGCCTACTTTAAAATGTACATCTTTGCGATGTTGATTATAGTTTGAACGTTGGTTTTGTTGTGCGATTTCTAGATTCTGACGTACGAAGTCGAAAGCAGGCAAAAGATTACTTATAAGTCGATCGCGATAATTTCGAACTTCGCGATTGTTTACATGTCGATCACTCGTTCGGTTATTTAAACCAAATAACACGTCGAGCGGTAATCGAGGCTCGCGACCGAACATCAGAAAAGCCGGAGATTCTCCAGTGCTGTCATGTATCGCAGTTCGCATAGCAAAAGCTAACTGCGGAAGTTTTATGTCCCAATTACTTCGATCTTTATCTACATATCCTGCTATCATCGTTTTTAGTGTATTATTAATCCGCTCTGATAGATTAGTTTGCGGATGATAGAGAGCAGTTCGGCGGTGTTCTATTTGAAGAAGACGTAGAGTTTCTTCAAATATTTCTGAAACAAATTGTGATCCATTATCTGAGATGATCCTAACTGGACATCCAAAACGGCAAATAACTTCATCATGAAGTGTTTGTGCTATACTGATTGAACGCGTATTTTGCAATGGAAATAATTCCACCCATTTTGTGAAGTAGTCTACGACTACTAAAATGTATTCATTACCTCTTTTTATTCGAGGTAATGGACCAGTGATATCTATACCAATAGTATACCACGGCTCATGCACCACGTTCGAGATCATCTTTCCAGCGAGCTTTTGAGTTCTAGCTTTAAAACGTTGACATGTATCACAACTATGAATATAGTTTTCTACATCCCTTCGCATTCCCTGCCAATGAAAGCGGGAATACAACCGATGTAGAGTTTCTCTTCTACCGAAATGCCCTGAAACTGCGTGATCATGTGCGAAGTACAATAAATTTTGAATTTTTGATTTTGGAATGACTAATAAATGTTGGTTATAATTGAATCGATTTGAATGTTCCTCATCAAATCGTCGTATACGATAGAGTCTACCATCGATTAATTTATAATACTTCGCCATTCCACGCACTTTCTTTGAAATATTTTATCTGAGGATAATATTCGATCATGTCAAACGCGTCTAGTTTCATACCCCAACGTGCTAATCGACTAGTCGGATCCTTTAATCTTCTGAGCTATGTTAGAGATCGGTGATCCGTCCAGACTTCAAACGGCCTTCCTTCCAAATATGGACGAAAGTGTTGAGTCCCCCAAACAATCGCCAAACACTCACGTTCCGTAGCGGAATATTTACGTTCCGATTCGTTTAACGTGCGGCTAGCGTAAGCGATTACATGTTCCTCTCCATCCGGAGGAACTTTCTGGGCTAACACAGCT